AGACATATTCTGGTGGTTGGGTAATTCTCACTCATTATGGTTTTATTTGCATTTACCTGATGATGAATATTCAGCACTTTCCTATAGGGTCTTTAGTCATTTTTGTGTCTTCCTTTCTAAATGTCTATTTAAATATTTCACCCATTTTGTAAAACCTTGATTGTCTTTTTATAATTGACTTGGGGGAATTTTTGTGAGTATATATTATAAATTAAAAGTCCATTGCCAAAAAAACACACATTTTGCAAATATTCTCCATCAGTCTGAGGTTTGCCTATTCATTTTCTTAATTGCTTATTTGGATGAATACTAGTTTTAAATTTGATGGCATCTAATTGCCAATTTGTAGAGTTATTAATTTCTGAGATCTAAAACATCCTTTTGTACCTGAATATAGCAAAAATATCTCCTGTTTTTATCTGTAAGTCTTGTTGGGTTTACTTTCATGTTCAGTTGTGAGAACATGTTGAGTTTATTTTTGTGTTTTATGTGAAGCAGAAGTGGAGATTCTTTGTTCACATTATATGACAGATATATAAATCTGTATCTATATGGATATCTAGTTGTTCCACCAGTGTGTGTGTGTGTGTGTGTGTGTGTATGTGTGTGTGTGTGGTTTACTTTTTTATTTTTCCACCATCATTTTTTAAAAACATTTTCCTTTCTCTACTTGATAGCTTTGGTACCTTTACAGTAAATCAGATGACCATAAAGGGTGGATCTCAATTTTCAACTCTTTATTTAGTTCCATTAATCTGTCCCTCCTTAGGCAAATATCAAACTGTTTTGATAATTCAAGCTTTATAATAAGTTTTGGGTCAAGTAGTGTGAGTCCTCCAACTTTGTTCTTTTTGTTTTGGTTTGGTTTGTTTATGTGGTTGGTTGTTTTGTTGTTGTTGTTACTGGAGATTGAACCCTGGGGTACTTTACCAATGAACTATATTATCCCCAGTTCTTTTTATTTTGAATTTCAACACAGGGTCTCACTAAGTTGCTTGGGGCCTCATTAAGTTGTTGAGGCTGGGCTCAAACTTGTTCTCCTCCTGCCTTGGCCTCCCAATCACTGTGATTACAGGAGCACAACACCCTGTCTGACCAAACTTTGTTCTTTTTCAAGCATTTTTGTGTGCTACCTTTTTTTCATTTCCATACAAAGTTTAGAATCAGCTTTTCAATTTCTACAAAAGAGCACACTAAGATTATGACAATGATTGAGTCTTTCGATGTATAAATATGGTATAATTCTCAATTTATTTAAATCTTATTGTATTTTAAGTAGTATCTTGTGGTTTTAAAAGCAACAGTATTGACTATCTTTTGTTAATTTACTCCTGTTTTTAATTGTATTTAAAGTGGAATTTATATATTTTATAATTCTTATAAAATGGAATTTATATATTTTATAACCTAAATATATGAAAATACAATTGATTTCTGTATATTGACATTATAGCCTGAGAATTCTAATAATTCTAATAATTAACTTGTAAAATTCTTGTGGTTTTCTACCTAAATATTCATGTCACCTGAAAATAGAGAAAGGTTTTACTTTTTTTATTATGACCTTCAAGTTTTTTATTTTTATTTCTACCATCATACTAAAACTCCTAGTATAAGTTGAAGGAAGTGAGTGAAGTAGACATTACTGTTTAGGGGCAAAGCAGTCAGTATTTCTCTTTTCAGTATTATGTTAACTCTTGGTTTTTTATATATGTCCTTTATCAGATTGAAAAAAAAATCCTTTCCTATGCCTAATTTGCTGGAGATTTTTTTATTATGAATGGTATTGAATTTTTCAAATTTTTTTCTGTATATATTGAAGTAATGATATGGCTTTTCTCCTTTATTACATTAATATAGGAAATAACATTGATTGAATGCCAAAAGTTAAACAACCTTTGAAATCGTCTATACACCCTACCTGTTCCTATTATCATCTTTTTACATATGTCACTGGATTTTATTGCTATTTTGTTAAGATATTTGTACTTTTTGCTGGGCATGTTAGTACACACCTATAATTCCAGCAACCTGGGAGACAGGGCCAAGAGGATGGCAAGTTCGAGGCCAGACTCAGCAACTTAGTAAGGCTGTAAGCAACTTAGTGAGACCCTGTTTCAAAATTAAAAATAAAAGGGGCTGGGGTTGTGTGGCTCAGTGGTCAAGCATCCCTGTGTTCAATCCCCAGTACCCCAAAAAAAGTGCTTTTTTCATTAAGACAATTATTCTGTAATTTTCTTTGTTTTTATATTGTAGTGTGTATTGTTAGGGTCATACCTGACTTTAAGCCCTGCCACTTACTGGTATAGTTGCTGTATTTTGGGTTGAGGGGGGAAGGGTTAATGGAATTAATGCATACCTCCTAAAAATAATTGGGAATTATTTCTTCTGCTTATTTTTTGTTTGTTTATTTTCTTTTTGTTTTACAGATTTTACAGATTGGTAATACTTTTTTCCCTTGAATGTTTGATAGAATGTACTCTCCTTCTGCGAGCCCATCATAATCTTCCCAAGGAAGATGAGATTGCTAATAATAATAGCCACTATTTCATGAAGTCCTCCAAAGTGTCATCTTACTATAAAATATTACATATGTTAACTGATTTAATCTCTGCAAAAACCCTATAGGATAGATATTATCTTCCTTATGTCAAAAATACAGAAACTAGGGCTGGGGCTGAGGCTCAGTGGTAGAGCACTTGCCTAGCATCAGTAAGGCACTGGGTTCAATTCTCAGCACCACACACAAATAAATGAATAAAATAAAGGTCCTTCAACATCTAAAAATATTTTTTTTTAAAGTACAAAAATTAGGGCTAAGGGTATAACTCAATGGCAGAATGAAGTATGCACAAGGCCTTAGGTTTGGCCCCAGCACCACCCCCAAAAAAATAGAGAAACTATATCAGAAATGAACACTATTATGTATAACTAGAATGTTCTAATAAAAAAAAAAAGAAGAAGAAGAAACTATGTCAGTAAGTAGTAGGGTTTAAAGTCAGGTGTAGGTTTAACAAGTGAGACCTTTCCATCCAAGTAAACTGCCTATCAAATTTATTCTTATAGCCATTTAATCAAAGATAAATCATTCGAGTATTTATCACCAGTAGAGAATCATTCCAGCAGCCAAATCTACATCCAATTATTTAGATTTCCTTTATTTATCCATTTGACAATACTGATAAATATTAATTGAGCAATGTTCTAGGCTAAGCAAACAAAGCAAGCACAAATAACTGTGAAGCTTGCCTTTGTGAAGCTTAAATTCTATTACACTAAAGAATAAATATATAAGTAAATGATTTTAAGGTTGTAAGCGCTTTGCAAAAATACAACAAATCAGAATAAGGAGATGGGGGGGGTTCTATTTTTAAGTAGGATGATGAGGGTAGACACACTGAGAAAGTAATATATCTGAGGAAGGAAATGATGGAGGTAAGGGAGAAAGCCATCAGCCATGTGGAGAAAGAGCATTCCAGGAGAGGAGAACAGCTAATTCCAAGGCATGTATATGGATGTGTGCCTGGAGTGAAGGGACAAAACCAAGTGGCCAGTGAAACAATGAAGTCAGATAACACAAGATCTTGTAACAGGACATTAGAAAGATATTGGCCCTTACCTTGAGTGGCTTGGGAGCCACATAGGGTTTTGAGCAGATAAATGACATGATATACCTTGCATGTTTAAAGTGTTAAACCATTTAAACAGTAGACTTTAGAGAAGCCAGGGGAGAAGCTGAGATATCCGTTAGGAGTCTATCTGGTCAGACCTTGTGAGAGGCAGTGGTGCTTCAAACCAGGTGACTACAATGGAAGTGGTAGAATCTGGATACCAACTGAAGATATGCCAGTAGGACATCTTGATGGAAAAGGGGACGGAGTATGAAGCCAAGGACGGCTTCAGGATTTTGTCCTGAGCAACAAGTGGAAGGACAGAACTGCTATCAAAAGAGACGGGCAGACTATAAGAAAGATAAAACAGGAATTCACTTTTAAATATATTAAGTTTTAGAAATAGTACATAAAAGTTAAAGGATGTGTGGGATCATTGTCCAGTAAAATTTCTTAAGTTCCTTGCAGTTTAGAAATATATTATATATTTTCTCAAAACACCTATCTAAAAAACAAAAAAGAATTCTTATTGCCACTCTAAGCCAAAGAGTTATTTCTCTATCCACTTTAAGACCTACCATATTGTCAAATATAGTATTTGAGTATCAAATCTTCATAAAAATAATAATAATAATAATAAACTACAGGGCTGGGGATGGTCGCTTAATGGTAGAGCTTAGCATACGCAAGACCCTATGGTTGCAATCCTCAGTGGAAGGAAGGAAGGAAGGAAGGAAGGAAGGAAGGAGGGGGAGAGAGGGAAGGAAGAAAGGAAGGAATCAATCAATCACAAGATTGACTAGTAATTGAGCTTCATGCCATAATACAATTCATGAGAGAAATATTCATGTGATCATAACTATTATAAAGAAGTAGTGGGGCTTGGTGGCACATACTGTAATGCCAGCACTCCTTCTGAGAGAGGAATATGGCAAGTTTGAGACCAACCTGGGCAACTTAGTGAGAATCTATCTCAAAATAAAAAATAAAAAGGTCTAGGGATGTGGCTCAGTGGTAGAGTGTCCCTGTGTTCAATCCCCAAAACCAGAAAAATAAGTAAATAAACCAACAATTTCATTTTAGGAGTCCTAGGTAACAAATAGAACAATTTCCCAGATTTCCATTCTTCACATAATTATCTAAACTTTATTATTAAACCATCATCATTATCATAAAACAATTACATATAATCCACTTTTGAACTTCAGCAGAGCTTGTCTTGTAATTTTCAAAGCTAGTTACAAAGGTAGACAAAATTTCTGCCCTTTGGAATCTAGTCATCTAGAAATCACAGCCTTGATTCACAAATAAAGAAGCCAAGGGCAGTTCCCCGGGGCCTGGGGCCTATACAGTCTGTGGTTACAAAGAGCTCTGTCCGTCAGCCTAATGGCCCACTGCCACATGTATGCCTGAACATAACGAGCTGCCTCCACCTTGGACTTAAGACTCGACTTAGTGAGGTCTCTGGCTGCTTTATCTGGCGGCTCCCACTTCCAGGAATCTGGTCAGCTCAGCCAGAAGGAAGGCAAAGAACATGCCACACTTCTGCACCCTACATCAGCACCCTTGGCACTCACACAGAAAGCATTCTGCAGGGTCTACTGGTTGTAAAATGAGAAACTGCTTGAAACTTTAAGTGGAAACTTTGTGATGGAAAAAAAAAAAAGCTTATGATTTGAAGGTGACTACAAATATGTCTATCTTAAAATAAATAACAGGAGTGTACAAAACCAGGATACTCTCTGCAAAGTTTTAGGAGGTCCAAAGACAGGAGATGTTCCAAACACCAAGTTAGAAGTCAAGACAGACAATACAGGTATAAATAAAAGTTGCTTCTTTTTTAACAAATGCCCAATTCGAACAAGATGATTGAATGACTGTCTAATTTAATCAAAATGACAGAAAATATTCCATAACATTAAATCAGAGCCCACAATATAACCATAAAACAAGATACAAGATACTTATTTAAAACTGAGAATAGAGCTCAGTGGTAAAGCACTTGCCTAGCATATGTGAGACCTTGGGTTTGATCCCCAGAAAGAGGGAGGAAAGGAAGAAAAGGAGCAAGGGTGGGGGGTAGCATTTACTTATACTTAACACACAATTCACCTACTCCCTATCAAATTGCAGAGCAGGGGAGCTCTTCATTCAGTTGTAGGTAGGTTACTGTGATTCTACCTTGCCTAAAAGAAAGAAACATTTTGAAGAACAAGTAAAAGGGAAAATCTAAAAGATACCTGGATTCATGCTCTTCTTAGGCAAAAACAGAGCTCAAATGACTCCAACTTTAAAAGACCCTGGAGATGTATTGATTTTCAATCACAAAGGGTTCCGATTATCTTGATTAGGGGATGAATATCTAGCTAGCAACAAAAGGTGTAAAGAAAAAATGAAATTTAGTATTCATAGCATGCTTTTTAGTTCAATAGAGTATATATTCCCTTAGGAGAAAGGAAAAAAAAAAAAAACTTTAAGAATCTGCACCTTAGAGAATTGCGAATTTGGTAAGGTTTCTTTCAACTGTATAAATGTCCACTGCCTAAGAATTCAATGAAAATATTAAAACACATCCTTTTCCATGGTTTTTTCTTCTATTTTTTATTATCCAAAATTCTCCAATAAACATTTATTTCTTGTAATCACAAAAATAATTAAATGTCAGCTTTAAATTATCCTTTACAGACACAGAAGGTAATACTAAATTAATTGAAAAGCAATAAGTACTTAGGGAGGGATAAGAATATTCTCTTTTAAAATAATCATGTAGTGGGCACAGCCTATAATCCCAGCGGCTTGGGAGGCTGAGGCAAGAGGATCTTGAGTTCAAACAAATCCAATAACTACAGTATACTTGATATGTTCTTATAGAACAGGTAATTTTATTCCAGCTTAGCAAAAGCGAGGCACTAAGCAACTCAGTGAGACCCTGTCTCTAAATAAAATACAAAATAGGGCCGGGGATGTGACTCAGTCGTCGAGTACCCCTGAGTTCAATCCATGGTACCCAAAAACAAACAAACAAGTGAATGAATAAATAAATAAATAATGTAGCTAAAATCTGAGAATTGTTAAAGATGGACCAAATAGATATTCAGACTAAAATTAAAGAAATTTTGGGGCTGGGATGTGGCTCAAGCCGTAGCGCGCTCGCCTGGCATGCGTGCGGCCCGGGTTGGATCCTCAGCACCACATACAAAGATGTTGTGTCCACCGATAACTAAAAAATAAATATTAAAAAATTCTCTCTCTCTCTCTCTCAAAAAAAAATAAATAAATTATTTTTTAAGAACAAATCTGCAAATGTGAATTAAACTTAAGAATTCTTAGCAGGTACAGGATAAAACAGAATCTTAATGACTATATTTGCTGACTATATATAATAACCAAATATCAGGCACTATTCAGAGTTCTTTATTTCATATGATCCTCCCTAAAACTCCAAAAAGTGTTTTCCTGAGCTCCTAGAATAAACAAATCCAATAACTACAGTATACTTGATTTGTTCTTATAGAACAGGTAATTTTATTCCAGGCAATGCATTCATCAAAGATTTTAATGAAGGCATAGAACACCTGCTCATTAAGCTTATGGGTGTATATGTATAGGAAAACATCAAGCTGTATGCCTTAAATATATACAATTTGATATGCCAATTATACTGCAATAAAGCTAGGGGGAAATCCTGTGGGTGATATAAAGCTGAAAGAATTTTCAAATTGTGGGATGATAAGAGAAGGATCCAAAAATATCTTTGAGGAGTAGCATAGATGGGTTGAATCTATAATATGAAATTAAGTGAGTATCAATATTAAAGACCAAACAAGCAACTATAATAACACAGAATACAAGAAACATGTCTCAGCAAATTAGCAATTATACAGGTGAAAAAAAGATGCAGTGGGTTTAGTCTGACATTAGATACAATATTTTATAAGTAAATAAATAAAAATGAGTCTTTACTGGCAACTAGACCACTGGCAGAAAGAAAA